CGGTCAGGATCACCAGAACGTGCTTCTCACACTGATAGGCCAGGAACTCGGCCGTGGTCAGAGCCAGACGGGGCGTGATGATCCGCTCAATACTGCAGGAGAATCATGGAATAACAGAGTCAGGAGGGACCTCGGAGGTCATCTAGTCCAACCCCATGCTTAGGCAGGAGACCCTTAGAGAATCATAGCATAACAAACTTGGAAGGGACCTCGGAGGTCATCTAGTCCGACCCCCTGCTCAGGCAGGAGACCCTTGGAGAATCATAGAATAACAGAGTCAGAAGGGACCTTGGAGGTCATCTAGTCCGACCCCCTGCTCAGGCAGGAGACCCTTAGAGAATCATAGCATAACAGAGTCGGAAGGGACCTCGGAGGTCATCTAGTCCTTCTCTTCATTAAAATAGATCAGGGGTCTTCAAATTTGGCCCTTGTATGACTTGTGGACTTCAACTCCCAGAATTCCTCAGCCAGACACACGTGGAATTCTGGGAGTTGAAGTCCACAAGTCATAAAAGGGCCAAGTTTGAAGACCCCTGAACTAGACATACCCAATTCCTGCAACCGTTCTTCATATCTTTTAGCCTCCAGGCCCCTGAGTCTGGGGGTGCTGCAGCTCCCTTCACCCTCTCCCCCAGACCCGGGCTATGGACTCACGTGGGGTCGTTGGCCAAGTTGAGGAACAGGCAGACGTTCTCCATGGACCCGTTCTCCTCAAAGTCCGATTTGAAGAACCGGGCCGTTTCCATGTTCACCTGCCAATGAAGGGGATCCTTATGGAGCCATTTTCAATAATAATAATAATAATAACAAGAAGAAAGAAGAAAGAAGAAAGAAGAAAGAAGAAAGAAGAAGAAGAAGAAGAAGAAGAAGAAGAAGAAGAAGAAGAAGAAGAAGAAGAAGAAGAAGAAGAAGAAGAAGAAGAAGAAGAAGAAGAAGAAGAAGAAGAAGAAGAAAGTTGAAAGGGACCTTGGAGGTCATCTAGTCCAACCCCCTGCTCAGGCAGGAAACCTTATACCATTTCAGACAAATGGCTGTCCAGTCTCTTCTTTAAAAACCTGCAGTGTTGGAGCATTCACTGCTTCTGGAAGAAGACTATCTGCCCCTGTTCCCTGTTCTTTCATTTCAAGCTTTCATGGATTCAGTTTAGGGTCAAGGACCAAAATACAGAAAGTAAAGGAAAAAGAAAGAGAAAAAAGAACGTGGACTAAGACCAAAAAGAAAGGAAACGAAAAAGAGCAATTGTGTTATTTTCTGTTGTTGTTATTGTGGTTGTTGTTTTTAAATCGATGGCCAGCGTGTTTCTCTTGCTGGATCAGAATCTGGCTTCTCATCTTAAAGTAGATTTGGCCAGAGATGTAAGATTGTAGGTTGATTCTCCAGAAAGTCTTTAGCGCAGTGTTTCTCAACCTTGCCAATTCTAAGATGTGTGGACTTCAACTCCCAGAATTCCCCAGAAAACTTTTTATTGCAGTGTTTCCCAATCTTCGCAACTCTAAGATGTGTGGACTTCAACTCCCAGAATTCCCCAGAAATTTTTTATTGGAGTGTTTCTCAATCTTCGCAACTCTAAGATGTGTGGACTTCAACTCCCAGAATTCCCCTGCCAGCTTTGCTGGTTGTGGAATTCTGGGAGTTGAAGTCCACACATCTTAAAGTTGCCACACTTGAAAAATAGTACCCAACAATAATAAAATACATTCCTAGAATTCCATCTTGCTGATTTCTTAATCTACCTACACCAGGGATAGGCAACCTTGCCTCTTTTATGACTGGTGGACTTCAACTCCCAGAATTCCTGAGCCAGCATGGGGGAACTATGGCTCCCTTGATGACTTGTGGACTTCAATTCCCAGAATTCCTGAGCCAGCATGGCTGGCTTAGGAATTCTGGGAGTTGAAGTCCACGAGTCATAAAAGAGCCAAGGTTGCCTACCACTGGTCTACACTGAATATCACTCTTGAAAGCCCATCTAAGCTTTTACTGTATTGGTCTGATTTTGCACTAAACAAAATAAAAGCACATTTATTTTCTGTTTCTTTCCCATGCTTCCTTCCTTCGGCAGACTGTGCAAAGTTTTCACCGTCCCTAACGGCTCTTTCATGCCTTCCTCAATGCCAGCTCTAAATTCTTGCACGGCTACTTTTTCCAAGACCAAAATAAGGGGAAACCTGGCTAAAGTTCCCCAAATTCTAAATATCTATAATTAAGAAATGTACATTTTTGGGGGGAGGTAATCTGCTTATTTGCAATTAGCCACAAAATGGAAATAATAGAAATAGAAATAGAAATAGAAATAGAAATAGAAATAGAAATAATAGAAATAGAAATAGAAATAGAAATAATAGAAATAATAGAAATAATAGAAATAGAAATAGAAATAGAAATAGAAAGGGTTTTTTGAGGGCTCCTTTAACAATATGCAACGGCTGCATTGAAAACTCAGGAAAAGGAGGTTTTTTTTCCTGTCTAAAAGTGAATGCATTTTCAGGTCCTGTGTGTGTGTGTGTGTGTGTGTGGGTGATACGTAAGACCCCAGTAGGAAGTTAAACCGGCCTTTTTCAGGTCTCGTTCTTATATAAATTTGTCCACTTGAGGGCACGATAAGAAAAAAGATCTTGCTGGGGAATTAAAAACAAGGATTGTGTGAATTATTGCTCAGAAAACCTAGTGAGATGGAAATTATTTCCTCCATTTTTGAAGTCAAGGTCTTAACAGTGAAGAATTATTCTATTCTATTCTATTCTATTCTATTCTATTCTATTCTATTCTATTCTATTCTATTCTATTCTATTCTTCATTCTTCTATATTCTATATTCTATTCTATCCTATCCTATCCTATCCTATCCTATCCTATCCTATCCTATCCTATCCATTTTCTATTCCTATTCCTATTCCTATTCCTATTCTATTTCTATTTTCTTGCAGACATTTCATAACCCAACTAGGTAACATCATCAGGGCTAGAAGAGAATGGGGGAAAGAGGAGGCGGCGGAGGAGGAGCGGAAGAGGAGGAGGACAGAAAGAGGACTGTGGATTCCTTGGTGCTCTCTGAGCTTAATTTTTTTTTCTTGCAGACGTTTCATGACCCAACTAGGTAACATCATCAGTGCTAGAAGAGAGTGGAGTGTGCAGAGAGGAGGAGGAGGAGGAGGAGGAGGACTGGGGATCCTTGGTGCTCTCTAAGCTTAGTTTTTTCTTGCAGACATTTCATGACCCAACTAGGTAACACCATCAGTGCTAGAAGGGAATGGGGGAGGAGGAGCAGGGTTGCTAGAAGGGAGTAGGGTTTGCTCTCTGTTTATACACAAGTGCTTGCAGCACTGGTAGCTGTTCCAGTCTTGATTAGGCAGCTGTTTACTGTGGAATTCTTTCCCTGAGTTGGGAACAGCAGCCTCCAACATCTGCCTGGGGATGCCTGCTGCCTCTCCTCCAATCAGAACATCTGTGGGTGCCGTAAGCCACAGCGGAGAGCAACTGGGGGGGGGGGCAGAAGTTGCACCAACAGCTTCCAAGGCCGAGGCTATTCCTGGACGTGCGATTGTACAATAATGTCCACAGGCGTCATCCAGCCACCGTTGTGCCAAAGTAACACTAATGCGCCCAGACTTTCTCTCACTTCAAGGATGGCTGGTTGATGCTCTGAAGCTACGTCTCCACGGCAGGTTACTCTCAGACTCGAGAGGAGTAAAATTCCCGGGGAACAGAGAGGGTCCGTAGCTACTCTTCCTTTGCAAAGGGTATTTTTAGCTTCGAATCGGGGGGGGGGGGGGCTCACCGCTGAAGGGAGCGCATAAATGACTTGGTTGTCAAAAGACCACAGCTCTCTAAACTTGGCAGGTTTGTGGACTTCAACTCCCAGAATCCCCCACCCAGCAGGTGGAGAACAGAGGAGAGGCTGAGTAAAAGCTTGGCCAGAACGTGGAGTCATGAGGAGTCGGACGCAACTTAGCAGCTGAACAAGGAGGAGGAGGAGGAAGAGGAGGAGGAGGAGGAGGAGGGGGAGGGGGAAGAAGAAGAAGAAGAAGAAGAAGAAGAAGAAGAAGAAGAAGAAGAAGAAGAAGAAGAAGAAGAAGAAGAAGAAGAAGAAGAAGAAGAAGAAGAAGAAGAGC